TATTTATTTTTGGCTGCATTGGGTCTTCCTTGCTGCGTGCAGGCTTTTCTCTAGTGGCGAGCGGGGGCTACTCTTCATTGTGGTGCACAGGCTTCTCATTGCGGTGGCTTCTCTTGTTGCGGAGCACAGGCTCTAGGCGTGCGGGCTTCAGTAGTTGTGGTGCTTGGGCTCAGTGGTTGTGGCGCACGGACTTGGTTGCTCCGAGGCATGAGGGATCTTCCTGGACCAGGGCTTGGCCCGTGTCCCCTGCATTGGCAGGCGGGTTCTTGACCACTGCGCCACTGGGGAAGTCCCTACATTATATTATAAAGATATATACATATTACATAGAGAGATCTAATTTAAACAACTGCTTCATAATATTACATTGTACTTTGTATTTAAATTATGCGGTTGTGTGGATGGATATATAAATTGTGTCCAGTTTTTTCTCTATTTTAAACAATGCCACAGTGAACACCTAAAAAAACAAACAAATAAACAAAAAAACAGTTTCTTTTATGAGAAAGCTGTGTCCTCTTATTGAGGCTCTATTAGAGAAATTGCTTTTCAGTAGTAAGGAAGATTTTAGAAGTAGGAAGAATTAATTACAACTATTTATACTAACTTAGAATGGATTTTGTTTCCTCCTTTAATATTTTTTGCTTGTAAGAGAAAATTTGAGGCCTACTTCTGACTACATAGAACTGTAGAGAGCAATGTGCTTTTAATATAATTTCTGTTAAATAATTTATTCTCCAATTCCTTGTTAGCTTTTACAGGAATTTATGACATATAATAGTTCAGTAAGGTGGCTGGCTAGATATGAGATATATTAAATGAGAAGGTTTTCTATTTATCTCCAGTAACTGGCTAGAAAATATCCTGATAAAAAGGATTTCCAATACATAATGATAAAAGCAAAATAGCCATTTCTAGAAATAAAATTCTGGTGAGAAATGGCTGGAACTTACTCAAAATAAATTTAAAACCTGTTTTAGAGAGTTGTAAAGGAAAATTTAAATAAATGGAGCACCGTACCACATTCCTGAATGGGAAGAAGTGTGTATTAGTCAGCTTGGGCTATCATAACAAAAGACCACAGAGTAGGAGGTTTACATAACAGAAAGAAATAAATAATAAAAATAAATAATAGAAATTTATTTTCTCAAGGTTCTGAAGGCTTGGGAAAGCAGTTTGCGATCTAATAGACTTTAGCCATAAATTAATCCTACAAATTCCTCTATGGACCAAGTAGTTCATCATAGCATTATTTAGCCTAGTAAATAGTAGTGAATAAACCTTTAGAAATGGAAAAAAAGTGAATCCCTGTACATCTACTCAAAGCTAAGTTTATTGAGGGTTTATTCTGTGCCAGACACTACATTCAGCTCTTTTCATGATTTTTTCACTTAATCTTCACAATAACCTCAAAAGGTAGATATTATCCTCTTTTAGGAGTTTTAGTAAGCTAATAAGCTGTTTATAATAAACATAGAATAACATGAAAAGTGCTCGTGACATACTAAACATAAAAGCAAGACACATGTATCGAGAATGATTATAACCATGCATAAGAAATATGAATAGAAAAATAATGTGAATAGAAAAATAATGAATAGAATAGAAAATAATGAAAAGAAGTCCGTGAAAGGTGAACACATTCTTATTTATTCCAATTTGCTTTCATGGGTACGCATGAATCTTGAGACAATAACCACCACCACCACTATAAAACTATCAAACATGATTTTAAAAACAAAAACCAGAAAGAGAAAAATTTAAGGGTAAGTCAGCCAGAAATGTAAAAAAAGCAGGAAGTTATATTTCACTCAGCTAAAAGCTGAGATCTTGATGGTGGTCCCCAAGGCCTGCTGTGATGGGCTCCCTCCCCTCCCCTCTGGCTTCATCCCCCAGCTCTCCTCCTCTTTTGTGTCCCCAGCTCCACAAGCCTCTTCTTTCTCAGCACACCAGATACTGTCACTCCATGGGGCCTTGGTCCAAGGGGTCACTCTTCCCAGAATTCTCTTCTTGCAGCTACCTCTAAGAACACCTTTCCAGGTGACACTTACCCAGTATCACCTTCTCAGTGAGGCTCCTCTAGTCAAGATTGCACCCTACCTCCATCCTACCATCCCACCTCCAACCTCTGTATCTTGTCCTTCATTTTCTCTTTCCATATCACCTGTCACATTCCAACATACTAGAGAATTGGCTTATTTCTTTTGCTTCATGTTTATTACCTGTCTCACTCCACTAGAATGTAAGCATCTCAAGGGCAGGAGATTTACACACAAATCCTCATCCACATTGCATCTCAAGTATCCAGGACAATGCCTGGAATCCAAAAATATTTGCGGAGTGTTGCCAAAGGTGCTGTCCTAGAGTAGAGAAAAGGCCTGAAGAGTGAAAAAAAAAAATGATCCCAAGGTGAGTTCTGGGAAATACAAGCAGTGGCCTACTTGGAAAGTGATTATAGTAGATCTTACACTGTTTGACTTATCAGTACTGTTGATCTTATGACACCAGCCCCACCAAGAATAATTGGGTTAAGACTTTGCAGTTGTGACATTTATGGCTTACTTCATCTAGGTTTTATTTTGCTTGCAAATAAGTCAATGTCTTACAATGATTTTAACATGGGGAAAGGTCCACAGTAGTATACTTTGTTCTAGCCTTTTTTTATTCATACTCTGACTCTTTTCAATAGTTGTGGCTTTCTCAGAACTCTCTGCACCTTATCCTTTTTTCTTTCCAGCCGTAGGTGGCAGCACACCACTGCCTACAAACGGCTGCGTTTGTAAGTCAGAGCTGTTGGTCAGGAAAGAGCAGCTAATGAATAATCAGTCCAAGCTGATTGGCAAATTAATGTCTTCATTAAGTGAACTAACCGGCTTCCTTTATAAACAAGGTCAGAGTATTTATAACCCAGTGCATTTCATAAAGCAAAATCCATCTACACTGATGTGACCTCACTAAGGTACCCATGATTGATCTGCATGGAGCATATGCAAAACCTCACTTGGAAAACCATCTTTAATAAGGACTGGTACCGTTCTGATGTAATCGTTAATAAAAGGCACCCTTGCTATGCAGCCTCATTTTTCTCACACGAGGTAAATGAAAAAGTGAATACCTTAAACAGGAGCTACTATTATAAGATGATATTGGGTGGCCTGTTCCAAATTGAGTTCTTAGTAATAAAAAATAAAGTGTGATCCTTATTGATCAAATATATCTTCTGTCACTTAGGCTAGACAAAAACTTATTTCACATTTAGAGTACGCTGTACAGGTATAAAGTTTGATGTTTACCGTCTACTCTATGTCACATTTCGAGTGATTCAAATGCTTAATGTTGCCATCATTGTCAGAGAACTATGTGAGAAGTTCAGAAAATCTTCTCACGAGGTGATCAGGCGTCAGGGACCTGGTGAATTTCTCTTTCTAGAACAGTGCTGTACAACAGAAATATAAGGCAAGCCACAAATATGAACTGTATGTGTAATTGTAAATTTTCTAGGAGCTGCATTGAAAAACGCAAGAAGAGAGGAAATTAATCTTAATTCTGTATTGTAGTGTCTTTAACCCAATATATCAAAAGTATTTAGCGGGTAATCAATATAAAGACAACGGAGGTATCCTACATTCTCTTTTTCACTCTAAGTATTTGAACTCTGGTGTCTATTTTACACTCACAGCTCATCTCTGTTCAGACTAGCCTCATGTCCAGTGCCTGATATCCACGTGTGGCCAGTGGGCACTGTGATATCCAGCTCAGCTCTAGAGATTTAGTATCTGTTATGGATTCAATTGTGTCCCCTCAACATTCAGATGTTGAAGACCTAACCTCCAGTACCTCAGGAGGTGACCTTATTTGGAGACGAGATCTTTACAGAGGTAATCAAGTTAAAATGAGACCGTTAGGGTGCGTCCAAATCCAATATGACTGATGTCCTTATAAAATGGGGGAATTTGAAGACAGACTCGCACAGGGAGAGCGCCATGTGAAGATGAAGACAGAGAAGGGAGTGATGGGCCTACCAGCCAAGGAGCACCAAAGGTTGCTGGCAAGCTACCAGAAGCTAGAGGAGAGGCGTGAAACAGCCTCTGCCTCACCGCCCTCAGAAGGAACTGACCCTGCTGTCACCTTGATCGTGGACTTCTAGCCTCCAGAACTGTGAGACAATAAATTTCTGTTGCTTAAGTCACCCATTTTGTGGAGAGAAATACAGTTCCTGCTGTTGGTAGTGGGCACTTTGTTCCATCACTCTGCAGCTTTTCTTTTCCTACCTTGAACCTCTTCTCCTCTTTCTGCACTTTCCCTTCTGTTCTCACCACTCAGGCTCCCAACCTCCTCTCATGGAATCTCCTAGTATTTCGCTCCCATGCAGACAGGCTGGGAGTTTCCCCTTCAGTGAGCATGAGAGGGGCACATCCTGAGCAGTGAGTAAAGAAGGCTGATTTGCTTCAGGTCTCTAGCGGGGATAATATTATCCACTAGGCTGTCTCCCTAGAGCTGCTATAACGCAGGTCCAGTGCTGTTTGAGAAAGTGCTTTGAAAACTGTACATAACTGCATAGATGAGAATGAGTGTTTTGTAGGTGGGATGAAGTGTTTCTCAAATTATTTTCATTTCTTCTCCCTTTAATTATCTGGGCTCCCCACTTCACAGAAGGAAATGATCAAAGGGGAAAAGACCCTGACACTTTCTTGCCATCTGGCAATAGTGCGCTTCTATTGGTTGTCTCTCCAGCACTTCTGCGGACACTGCAGAAGCTCCCTCCTCCCCCATTCACAAACCAGGTGCTGTGGGTGACATGGATCCCACTCCATCTCTAGAAATGGGTCCCAACCTGTGTGTATATATATGTAGACACACATATTCTATTAATCTGTTTCTGTTTCTCTGGAGAACCGTGACTACATCTATTGTTCTTATTAATTCATGGCAAGGGGTCATA